CCTTGAATGAAGGACCACCATCAGGAAATTTCTGAATTATAGGGAAATTAAAAAAAAAAGGCAAAATCCTGGATGAAGGCTGGATGGTACCGGTTGCCAAGAAAACATCATAAGACAGCAGGACTTCAGATTGGTTTGAGGGAGTAATTCGCACCATAAGATGGAGACTTTCTTAGAAAAGTGAAAAATCCAGATTTTAGATGGATGATGTTTGCACGCAGGAATAAAACGGGGAGTTGGAGCCCTGTGTTCAGGTCACAAAATTTGATCCTTTTCACCGGGTTTCTGTTCCGCTTAGTAAATTCCATGGGTTTCTGTAGACCTTACTTTCAGATTAAATGTGCAAAGCAAACGAGGATATAAAAGTCTCATTTGTGGTCCTATGGGCTTTTACGCTGAAGACTGTCCTGCTTCAATCAATCATGGAGGACTGGAGTGAGCAATTTGAAGAGTTCAGCCAAGTATGTGTAACGCTTTGCCTTCAAGAAAAGCATATACAAACCCGACAGTGTTTCTCCTCCTCGTCATAGTAAGCCAAATTTCATAAATTGTACTTATTAATATGGGTCTATCCTCTATAAATCCTTCCCCCCCCCCAAGAAACCTTTTGGAACTATGCAAGAGACAAAGTAGGGCCTTGGTCTTCTAACTTTACTCAGGCAGTTGACTCACCTGGACAGGGTGGATAAAAATCTATCTATATATATATATATGTTTTCTGAGGTTTTTGCGGGTATTTGTATGTAGGTCTTTGGTTATTCAGGTTTTCTACCACGTAAAATTGGAAGTGTCTTGGCAACGTTTGAACGAAGTTTCATTCGTCATCTTCAGGCTGGTGTTTTCGGCTTCGTGCTTCTAGGAGCAATTGCTCCTAGAATAACCAAAGACCTACATACATACATATATCTATATCTATGTCTATATATCTATATATATCTATATATATCTATATATCTATATATCTATCTATCTATCTATCTATCTATCTATCTATCTATCTATCTATCTATCTATCTATCTCAGTGGTGAAATCTAAAATTTGTTACTACCAGTTCTGTGGGCGTGGCTTGGTGGTGGTGGGGTAATGTGGGCGTGGCCATTTTAAAAAAACTTTTAAAACCATTTTTTCTACAACCTCTTTGGCGAAGAGGTTGTTAAAAAATGCTTTCAAAAGGCTCTGACAATCCCACCTGAGTTGCCTGATCGGCAGAGGCTCTTTTTTTTAAAAAAGCCTCTGACCATCAGGCAACTCAGCTGGGATCGTCAGAGGCTTTTAAAAGTATTTTTTTCTACAACCTCTGAGGTTGTAGAAAAAATGTTTTTAAAAGCCTTTGACGATCCCAGCTGAGCCGCGCGATCATCAGAGGCTTTTTTTTTTACTTTTAAAAGCATTTTTTCAACAGAAGAGGTTGTAGAAAAAATGCTTTTAAAAATTAAAAAAAAAAGCCTCTGATGATCGTACGGCTCAGCTGGGCATGGGGGAGGGGGGGCAGGGATTTTTGCTATATATAAAATTTATATTTTTGCTGATAAAGAAATAAAGGGAGACTAGTATAGATCTATTTCAAGCTTTTTAGCTTTCATCAGCTAGCCATAGCTTACTTGGATTCGAACTTGGGCTTCCTGCATGTTAGGCACTTGTATATATATTGGAATTTTTAAAATTTTAAATTGGATTTTTTTTATTTTTATCAAATTTATTTTTAATAAATTTGGAGTATTTCTTTGGAGTAAAAAAAATCTATCTAAAGAGTTTTCTATTAATAATTTAGTTTATTCAGCATGTAATGGAGCTTAGTTATGTAGCATGAGGCTGTATATTCTGCAATATTGGGACTCTCAGTGAGTCAACAGCAGGTCAGAGGAGGAGGCGCTGCGGGACAGAGACAGCTGCTCTTTAAAAATTATGATTTAAACCGAGTTATGATTTAAATCAAGCCTTTTTACTAGTGATTTAAATCATGATTTAAATCAACTTGATTTAAATCACATCCACCCTGCTCCTGGACTCCCTCAGAAACTTCAAAATATTATTTTGGACCGCATTTTTAGCACAAATAGTGGTATAACTCTACACTCTCGCTCTCAATTACATGATAATTGTGTCTTCCTAGGGTGTTAAAAAGGGGATGCCGTGACTCAGTGGCTAAAATGCTGAGCTTGTCGATTGAAAGGTCGGCAGTACAGCGGTTCGAATCCCTAGTGCCGCATAACGGGGTGAGCTCCCGTGACTTGTCCCAGCTTCTGCCAACCTAGCAGTTCGAAAGCATGTAAAAAATGCAAGTAGAAAAATAGGGACCACCTTTGGTGGGAAGGTAACAGCGTTCTGTGCGCCTTTGGCGTTGAGTCATGCTGGCCACATGACCACGGAGATGTTTTCGGACAGCGCTGGCTCTTCGGCTTTGAAACGGAGATGAGCACTGCCTCCCAGAGTCAGGAATGACTAGCACATATGTGCGAGGGGAACCTTTATCTTTACCTTTAGGATGTTAAAAATTTGTTTGGGAACAAAATTAAGAAAATTTAAGCTCAAATAGTCAATGCATCAAAGTGTTGAAAGCTGACAGAGTCTTTTGTATGACTTCCAATCTCGATTTTTTGCTACAATTTCTTCAAAAATGCAGACAGGGAAATGTGATGTTGGGAACAGACCCACACATCAACCAACTTTTCTTCGAGTGATGACCAGACAGTCTTTCAAACCGAAAAGTTCTACTGAAATTTGGTGGGGGAAATGGACAGTCATATTTGCATTTTTCCAGAGGTCGATACTTTTTAATATAAGCAGAGAGTTTGTTTTAAGGAGATTTCCCTGAAGATTAGATACTCGGGGAACACATGGATAAAATTTCTGAAGGCATATATTCTGTACAATAGGGTCCGGTTTCCTAATTCAATTAGTGATTAAAAACTCAGGGGCTGATTCTATAATATGAACATCCATTCAGAACAATAGGTGGGAGCTTATTTTAGTAGTGCAAACCCGACAGCTGGCATTAATAATCGATTTCAGATGTGGTTGAAGTTTGCGTGGAAGCTTTTGCAATAAGCCAAAAATTAGTGTAACACCAGTTCTTAAGTTGCTGTTGTTCTAGACTCCATTCCTAGTGCTGGTTATCTGGAAAACATACATAGACATATTACGAATGAAGGCAAATATACGTGTCCCAGGATAATGTTGCAAGATCCAATCTGGGTCAGTCACTGGGACCAGAGTTTTAGTCTTCCGAGCTTTCGGATTCGTGCTGGAGCTGTTGTGGTCCACCAGCAGCCCACGGAGCTGGCAGCGGAGTCAGACAGTGAGGAGGCTGGGAAGGACCATGGGCCAGTCCTGGAATCTGGAGAAGGCCCGGACGAGGGCTCTGTGTCGGAGGCAGAGATGGGGCCAGGGCCATCTGGGAGTCATGCATGGACTCCGGAGCCTCCAGAGGTGGACAGCAGAGAGGCAGAGGAACAGGAGGAGCCTGTTCCTGGTGCACGCATGCGCACAGCTTCCAGAAGGTAAAGCAAAAAGGATGACTCGGGAGTAAGGCCAGGACATGATTGGCCCCTCCCATAAGGCTTAAAAGAGCAGCAAAGGCTCTTGGGCTCTTTGTAGGAAAGCAACGTTGCCAAATCTGTTTCCAGTTGGTGTCTCTTGTTTCTGAACTTCGTGGGGCTTTGCTAAGAAAGGCCTTTGGCAGGGTGCCAAAGAAGATAAAGGTTTGTGATAAGCCCACAGGGCTTTTTCTGAAGGACTTGTTTTGGAATTAATTTGGACTAAGCTGGGAATAAAGTAATTCCCAGCTGTTATAATAAAATAGGTTTGTTTAAGACTAATTGTGTCTTGTAATGACTAAGTGAGCCTAGGTCATAACAGGAGCATGAGAACTTCTACTGGAATATGTGCTTTGGGCTATTCTGTGAGCCGTATTGATAATGTGCCTTCCTTTTGGTTGACTGGTGTGTTGATGGCTGGCGATTGTCTGTTGTCGTTGTTATTTCCTTGTGCTGTCAAGCCCTCGTCTCCTAAGTATTTGATAAGTTGGTGGTAAATCAGAACTCGGGTTGACTAACAAGGGGCCTATTTTCCAGGTTTCAATTATTTCCCTGGCTATTTTTGTACCTGCTCGGCCGACAATCTTAGTAGCTGCGAAATTGGATGTATGTCCTTGTTCATTGCAATGTGAAGCTACCAATGAGTTTCCTTGACTGTATATATAAAGCCAGTCTTGTCTAGTGGGTAAGTCTAAACGTCTGGAGTCCATGAGTTCTAGTCCTGCCTTAGGCGTGAAAGCCAGCTGGGTGATTTTGGGCCAATCATCAGGAGGCTGTGAATTCTAGTCCCGCCTTAGTCATAAAAGTCAGCTGGGTGACTTTAGGCCAATCACCAGGTGGCTGTGAGTTCTAATCCTGCCTCAGCAATGAAAGCTGGATGGGTTACTTTGGGCCAATCACTAGGAGATAATGAGTTCTAGTCCCACCTTAGCTATGAAAGCCAGCTGGGTGACTTTGGGTCATTCCTCTCTCTCTCCGCCCAACCCAGGAAAACAGGAGGAGGAAGAATATTGGATGCGTTTGCCACCTTGAGTTATTTGTAAAAACTAATGAAGTAAATAAAAATAAATAAAATCCTCATCTATTAAGAGTCAGGTGGGATACAGATCTCGGATATATCTCAGATACTTTAAGCATCTTGGGTAGTGCTGGTTTTACAGCTTCTGGTTACGAACGTAGGAAATGGAACTATTTCTGTCCATGTTGCCAAAGCGCCTATTACTACAAATTGAAATAATGTTAGTAGCTGCCTAGCATTTGGAATTTCCTGTTTTACAAAAATGTGTGCATGTGTGTCTGTGCACACTTGCTATTGTTGTTTTAACACATTCATTTTTTTTTCTCCTGCAGAATCGAGTTAGTGACACGGTTATCAAGTAACTTTTCTTGCTTATGGGGGAGAAACCCAGCAGTTTGCCAGACATATGTTAGCACATTTATCATCTTCTCATTTTTTTTCGCAGGGATCTGAGAGAGAACTATTGCCGAAACCCAGATGGAGCCGAGGTACCCTGGTGTTTTACGACCAATCCGAATATTCGGATCGGAGATTGTTCCCAAATTCCAAAATGTAACGCGTCCACTGAAAAAGGTAAAACCTGCTACGTAGAGAAGAAAAAATTAAAATAATAGCAATAGCACTTAGACAGCCCTCTCTAAGTGGTTTACAGAGTCAGCCTCTTGCCCCCCCAACAATCTAGGTCCTCATTTTACCGACCTCAGAAGGATGGAAAGCTGAATCGATCTTGAGTCGGTCAGGATCGTACTACTGGCAGTTGGCAGAATTAGCCTGCAATGCTGCATTCTAACCACTGTGCCATCAGGAAGGAGAATGAGAAAGGGAATAAGAGGGAGGGAAAGAAGGAAGGAAGGAAGGAAGGAAGGAAGGAAGGAAGGAAGGAAGGAAGGAAGGAAGGAAGGAAGGAAGGGAAGGGAAGGGAAGGGAAGGGAAGGGAAGGGAAGGAAGGAAGGAAGGAAGGAAGGAAGGAAGGAAGGAAGGAAGGAAAGGAAGGAAGGAAGGAAGGAAGGAAATTTCCCAGCCAGCATCACGAGGAATGCTTCAAGTCCCCAATTTTGAGAAACTTTAAAGAGCCTTTCCTTTTTTAGTGATAGCTGATGGCAGCATCTACCCAAATCTTGACTGAAGTTGAAAAAGTTAAGCAGGGTTAGACCTAGCTACTTTCAGGGGAAACCCGAAAATCCCAGTCTAAAGTAATTTTTTTTAAAAAAATAAACATTGTGGAAGAAGGCATGGGTAATTCACTTCTGGAGTGATGCCACTTCTGGAGTGATGCCAAGAAAGCTTCATAGGCCTGCCTACAAAGTCATCAAGAGCCAAAGTTGACTCAGGGGATTCTTTTTATCTAGCTGGTGGTCTCCGAGTTTTAACAAATAAGCAACGGCACCCCTACAAGCTTAAGACCCCTCCGTTTCTGCTCCAGCGAGTTGGAAACATCTGGACTTAAACTGCAGTGCTGAAGATATGCTGGCAGATTTCAAATATGTGAATGCATTGGCTGATCTTGTCAAGGTCACAGTCAACGAATTACCATTTAAACTAAAACGTCTCCAGTCCATCTACAGGAGATGGCAAGAAGAAGTCACCTACTTATTCCCGGATTATTTATTTACATCTTGAGAAATATTTATTGAGCTCCAGACCTATTAATCAATTAGAACAATTAATCATTGCCTCCAGAAGTTGTTGGTTGCTGCAACACTGGAGGATTTTAAGAAGAGATTGGACATCCATTTGTCTGGAATTGTTTACAGTTTCCTGCTTGAGCAGGGGGTTAGACTAGAAGACCTCCAAGGTCCCCATTATTCTGCGTTCTATATTCTATATAAAAATAATGTACTTAAGCATGATTGGGGCAAAGACGCAGGTTTTAAGGAGTTGGAAATTGCAGCATCAAATCAAGGCTTGAATTGACTTGGTCATCAGAAATGCAGCGAGAATTGTCAGCATCCGCTGGTTTTTATGTGCTACATAAAAATAAGTATTCTTCTGCTGAATCACATAACACGTTTAGTCATTAAAATGTGGAATATGTGACTATGGAATTAAGGAGGGATTTCCTGACAGTTAGAACAATGAATCAGTGGAACAACTTTCCTTCCTTCCTTCCTTCCTTCTTTCCTTCCTTCCTTCCTTCCTTCCTTCCTTCCTTCCTTCCTTCCTTCCTTCCTTCCTTCCTTCCTTCCTTCCTTCCTTCCTTCCTTCCTTCTTTCTCCATCACTGGAGATTTTTAAGAAGAGATTGGACAGCCATTTCTCTGAAATGGTATAGGCCAGTGGTCTGCAAACTTAAACACTCAAAGAGCCATTTGGATCCATTTCCCACAGAAAAGAAAACACCGGGAGCCACAAAACCTGAGTGGGTGTGGCCAACTCAACGTCACTCACTCCCACCCAGTCACATGACACACACCCAGCCACGCCTACCCAGGTTTTGTGACTCCCGGTGTTTTCTGTGGGAAAGAGGTATCTCTCTGTGTGTGTCTCTTTCTCTGCCTCTGTCTCTCTCCTCTCTCTTAGGCCTGGAAGGGGAGGGTGAGGAGTGGGGCCAGCCAGTGGTGGGTTCAGCTGATAGGGAGCCACAGCAGGGAGACAAAAGAGCCGCATGAGGCTCCGGAGCCTCGGGTTGCTGACACCCAGTATAGACTTTCCTGCCTGAGTAGGAGGTTGGATTAGAAGACCTCCAAGGTTCCTTCCAACTGTTGTGGCTCCATTGCCTAAGCCTGGGCTATCGACAGATGCAGACTCTGAGAGTGAGGGAGAGGAGTTGGCAAGGCCTCCCTCTCCAGGACCCTCCTCTCTGGCAATGCCTCCGGAGGACACCAAAGGCCAAAAGATAGGCTCAGAGCCAAGCACGTCCCCGCAGCCACAGGTGGACAGCGACGAAGGAGATAAGTGCTGGTTGGACCCTCGGCAGAGGCGCAGGGAGAAGCGTGCACAGCAGAGGGGAAGGCGTGCCAGAGATTAGCTGAGTCACTGGACCACACCCCACAGGGTATATATGTGGGTGTGGTGGCCGGTTCAGTTTGTGACGAGCAAAACCTGGAAATAATCCATGATCTCTGCGTTACTGGACTTTGCCTGTTTTATCGGACTGCATTTGGATTAATCCTTGTATTGTTGACGCTCTGCCTGTTTTATCGGAATGCTGGCAGTCTAATCTTTGTTTCGTGTGAGTAAAGTCTGAATTGGCAGCTAGCCACTGGGTTGCTGCCAGCTTTATCTTCAAAGAGTTTTGTCGGGTGGCTTATTAACTCCGGGCCATCTGTGGGGGTGCGTGTGTGGTACGGGGACAGAACATCAACATTGTTATTGGTTATTCTGACCTCTCTTGTACCCATCTACCTATGGATTTTTACACATTCATACCTATGCCCTATTGAAGTATCCATTGATCTGTATTTCTATGTTATGTGAATTTGCACAGCATAAGATATACCTTATATTTTAAACATTTTCGAACTGGAGTTAAGGAAGTTCCAGTGAAAATTTCTTTCTCTCAAACGGCAGCAATGATAATACGTGAGTTCCTTTTTAACAACTTGAATTTTTCTTTTAAACCAAAACACACAGATTGTTTTCGAGGAAATGGGACAAATTATATGGGCAATTTAGCCCAGACACGGTTTGGCTTGACCTGTTCCATGTGGGATAAAAACATCCAAGATTTAAGAAGGTAGGTACAAAATTAATTAAAAGTTATATTTCCCCTCCTTGACGGGATGGAATAGTGTAGCATATCGTACAAATAAATGTCTTGCAGGTTTCAGGATCTCCGATTTTAGCTTTGATTTATTTTCTTTCTTATTAATATTTGCTTATTAATTTATTAATTCAATTTGTATGCTGCCCCTCTCCGAAGACTCAGGGCGGCTCAAATATATTCTTTTCTTTACAGATGGGATGGTTGTTTTAAGAAAAATGTGCTGATTATGTGATAAGGGACAAGAGATTTAGGAAGAGTTAATTAAATTCTGTAGTCCACCCCAAATTCGCTTTTCACAGTTTTTAGAATGCCATCGTGTCATCTTAGGCAATTACTTAAAAGGTTGGTTTTTTTAAATAAATTACCTAGGAAATCAAGTGAGATTAGCAATAGCAATAGCGCTTAGATTTATACACCACTTCATAGTGCTTTACAGACCTTTCTAAGCGGTTTTGAAGAGTCAGCCTCTTGCCCCCTCCAACAATCTGGGTCCTCATTTTACCCACCTTGGAAGGACGGAAGGCTGAGTCAACCTTGAGTCAGTCAGGATCGAACTGCTGACAGTGGGCAGAGTTAGCCTGCAATTCTGCATTCTAACCACTGCGCCACTCTGGCTCTCTTGTAAGAATTCTTTTTACAAACTTGAAAGATTGCAGTCTTCTAAAAACTTGTGAGATTTCTCCTTACCTAGCATCTACTTGAGGGCTTCTGGAAGTTATCTGTTTGCCTGCTGTTTGTATGCCTGCCTGCCTGCCTATCTCTCTGTCTCTGTCTCTCTTTCTCTCTCTCTCTCTCACACACACACCAGAGGTGGGTTCCAGCAGGTTCTGACCAGTTCTGGAGAACCGGTAGAGGAAATTTTGAGTAGTTCGGAGAACCAGCAGTAAAAATTCTGACTGGCCCCATCCCCATCTATTCTCTGCCTCCCGAGTCCTAGCTGATAAGGGAGGAAATGGGGATTTTGCAGTAACCTTCCACTGGATTGGGAAGGGAAAGGAGATTTTACAGTATTCTTCCCATGCCACGCCCACCAAGCCATGCCACGCCCACCAAGCCATACCCACAGAACTGGTAATAAAAAAATTTGAAACCCATCACTGATACACACATCTATCTGTCTGTCTTATCTATTTCTCTCTCTCTCTCTCTCTCTCTCTCTCTCTCTCTCTCTCCTCTCTCTCTCTCTCTCTCTCTCCTCCCTCTCTCTCTCTCTCTCTCTATCTATCTATCTATCTATCTATCTGTCATTTATCTATAATCTAGCTCTCATCTCTCTCTCTCTCTCTCTCTCTCTCTCTCTCTCTTCTCTCTCTCTCTCTCTCTCTCTCTCATCTATCTATCTCTCAACTCTCTACCTACCTACCTACCTACCTATCTATCATTTATCTATCTATCATCTCTCTCTCTATCATCTCTCTACCATCTCTCTCTCCCTCTCTATCATCTATCTATTTATCCTATCATCTATCTCTGTCTATCTCTCTCTCTTTATCATCTCTCTAACATCTCTCTTTCTATCATCTCTCAATCATCTACCTACCTACCTACCTACCTACCTACCTACCTATTTATCTATCATCTCTCTCTCTCTATCATCTCTCTATCTATGATCTATCATTAATCTAATTTGCCTGCCTGCCTGCCTCTCTCTCCCTCCCCCTCCCTTCCTCTCTCTCTCTTTCTCCTATCTATATTTGATTTCTGTAGCTGTCCATCTCAGCAAACAACTCTGGATGGCTCACAATTCAGAAACAGGTATTACAGTTAAAATCTTAAAAAGCAATGTAAAACGATGAGAACAATAAGGAGCATTAAAACATTGCGAGAACTTTAGAATCCACCGTGCTGCATTTCCTCTTTTGAGTAGGATTTCGTAGGTGAATCTTTTTTAACAAAGGCTGAGTATCGCATCCAGCTTGCTTATTATGGCAGCATTTCAGCATTTCTCCAAGGAAACTAAAGCAGATGAGACGTCTGCATCCTATTTGATCATTCCTCTGTGTACAAACCAGAATTAATCTAGGTTTATTTCAGATTTCGCTATCTTGGAATCCAGGTCTCTCTGAATTAAATGCAACCGTCTTCTTGAATGTGGTTGGGACAAAGCTAATCCTTCCTTGATGCAATGATCAACTGAGCTGCCTTTACATAAATATACTTCTGAATACACAGTGTTCTTTTGTGGGTTTTTCTGGTACACTTATGAAAGACGACTCACAATTCTTTCACCACACTCAGACCAAGACGCACTCACTTCTAACACACATGCATATATATTTTTCCCCCAACCATAACATTTTGGCCTCCAATGTGAGAAGTGGCTTCATAAATTTTGGTTCTTCTGCAGGGTTCTTTGGTAGGGTAGAAGCGTTGAGTTTAATCTGCCTTCTATTTGTGGGGAAGGATTTTGCTGTTTATTGTTTTCCATCTCCAAAAGCACACCATGTGTGCACATCTGCATTTCAATAGATATTTTTAAAGTTTATGGTTATACAACAAGTGGCATGTTTTGTCACTCTTAATTTCTAATCCTTCTGTCCCAGTTTTCCTCTGGCTTCTGCAGTCCTTGGATTTTACAAATAGCTTTTCATCATGTTTTTATTTAACATTGTCTCAAAAGCCAGCAAGGTTCGTTGAGTAACTCCATTGTGACTGTGTACTTCTGTTTCCGTAATAATTCTAGTAACTTTTTTAAAAAATGTACAAATGAAAACTAGAGTAAACTAATAATCAGGAATGGAGAGAAAGAGGAAAAGGAGAGGTAGAAATAGAGGGGCAGAAAGATATAAAGAAGAAGAAGAAAGGAAAACAAAGATATGTACAAAAGAATGACTTCCAATTTCTTCTTCCAAGAATATAAGAAACACATTCAGCTCTTAGTTTAACATGCAATACATCCCCCCAAAAAGGGGGATTTTTTTTTTAACAATCATCAACTCCATATGTTATAAATTGACTTTTCTTATTTCCTGGCAAACGTCCACTAAAGGCTCCCAATTGTAGATAAATTGTAAGAGAAGAGTAGGCAGAGCTGAGGGTGGAGTGAAGCATGTCAGCGGTTTAGGGTCATTGCGTTTCCACATGCGTTTTCTCCAGATCCAACTTTGAATCTTGAATTCTGTTGACTCTTATCTGGCACCAATTTAGTGTTGAACTTGACTTGACCGGATTCTTGTGTATAAGCTTGAAGAAATCTTCTATGCTGCAACCCTATGAATGGTCCTGATTCTTTACCCCAACATACCTTTTTTTGTAAAAGCCATTTATTTAGCCATCATTGGCAGTTCTATCATCTCCCTCTCTCTCTCCCTCTCTTATATTTGTCTGTTTGTCCGTCTGTCTGTCCGTCCATCCATCCATCATCCATCCATCCATCCATCCATCCATCCATCCATCCATCCATCCATCCATCCATCCATCCGTCTATCTATCTTAATATCTATCTATCTATCTATCTATCTATCTATCTATCTATCTATCTATCTATCTATCTATCTATCTATCTAAAAAATTAAGAGGAGGTGGGACATTAAAATTGCCTGGATAGCTCAACAGACAGAAGCACTGTAATTTAACAGCAGCTGTCTGCAATTAAAATAAGATCGAATCTCGCCAGGCTCAAGGTTGACTCAGCCTTCCATCCTTTCTAAGGTAGGTAAATTGAGGACCCAGTTTGTGGGGGCAATAAGCTGACTTTGTATAAATATACAAAAGTATGAAGGCTATTGCTTAATGCACTGTAAGCTGCCCTGAGTCTCCGGAGAAGGGCGGCATATAAATCAAATTAAAAAAATAAAAAAATAAAAAAATTACTTGAAAGGTTGAAGGGAGAACTTTGACGGGACTAACAGTCCCATGGCTGCCTTATCCCCTGGACTCTCCATGCAAGACCACAGAGCCATGTTTTAACTCTTTTCCAGAACCACCATTGGCAGTTTCGTCATACAGATAGATAGATAGATAGATAGATAGATAGATAGATAGATAGATAGATGATAGAGTTCTTTTTCTTTTTTTCCTCACCAAAAAAGGTAGGTGCATCTTATAGTCCGGTGTGTCTTATACTCCAAAAAATACGGTATATACTTCTGAAAAAGTGATAATCTTGGGGCTGTGTTTTTTCTTCCCCTTCTAGGCACCTCCCCATATATAAAGACCTAGATATAAGCAAGGTGAAGAAAAATTATTGCCGCAATCCGGATGACGATGCTCACGGCCCTTGGTGCTACACCAGCAATCCTAAAATGCCTTGGGACTACTGTCGTATATCTAGATGTACGTATTTGGGTCACTCCAAAAGACATGGAATTGCCTAATTAAAAGGCATAGTAACAATAAGAATTATGCCTTGTGGTTGTTGATTCCCTCAAGTAAGGGCTATTTCTTATGGCAAGGATGAAAATAGGCAAGAATGCATTTACTTTATGACATCATGACGCGGTGTGGTTCTTTTGACATCATTGCTGTTAGCAGTGGCTCTGGATCAGAGGTGGTATTCAGCCGGTTTAGACCAGTTCGCCCGAACCGATAGCAGAAATGGCAGAAATGCGCCTGCGCTACCAATACACCCCAGCTCTATGTTGTTCCTATTAGGCACATTTGTGAGTCCGGGCACATAAGTCATAAGTTTATTTGTCAAGCATATATAAGATAACAGGTAAAAGTATAAACATAATTTGAATACATGAAAAGAGTAAGTAAAAAGGAATATTAGGACAGGGACGGAAGGCACGCTGGTGCACTTATGCACGCCCCTTACAGACCTCTTAGGAATGGGGTGAGGTCGACAGTAGACAGTCTAAGGTTAAAGTTTTGGGGGTTTGGGGAAGAAACCACAGAGTCAGGTAGTGCATTCCAGGCATTGACCACTCTGTTGATGAAGTCGTATTTTCTGCAATCGAGTTTGGAGCGGTTTACCGTGAGTTTGTATCTATTATTCACATGCAAATATCACTCCTGCTCTGGACAAACAATACTATTATTTGTTAAAAGTCTCAGTCATTCTCAGTCATCCAGGCTATGGTTGCCCCAAAGGTGCCTTTTCAGGAGGCAATTGGACTTTCAGCTGAAGAAGCTTCTTGGATGAGAAGTGGAACGTCTTCCAAAGAAAAAACGAAATCCAGTTGCCTCCTGAAAAAGCACCTACTATTTGTTGTACAACCCCCCCTCCCCCTATTCTTTAAAATCTTCACATTCTGAGATTCTCCACGGAGGAGAAACAGCTTAGCAGCTAGTAATTTAGCCCTAGCAATAGCACTTAGACTTATATACCACTTCACAGTTCTTTACAGCCCTCTCTAAGCAGTTTACAGAGTCAGCCTCTGGCCCCCAACAATCTGGGTCCTCATTTTATCCATCTCGGAAGGATGGAAGGCTGAGTCAACCTCAAGCCGGTCAGGATCGAACTCCTGGCAGTGGGCAGAATTAGCCTGCAATACTGCATTCTAACCCCTGCACCACCAGGAAGGAGAAGGAGAAAGGGAATAAGAGAGGGAGAGAGGGAGGGAGGGAGGGATGGAGGAAGGAAGGAAGGAAGGAAGCAAGGAAGGAAGGAAGGAAGGAGGGAAGGAAAGGAAAGGAGGGAGGGCGGGATATCAATAGTATTTAGACTTATATACCACTTTACAGTGCTTTCCAGCCCTCTCTAAGCAGTTTACAAAGTCAGCATAATTGCCCCCAACAATCTGGGACTTCATTTTACCAACCTCGGAAGGAAGGAAGGCTGAGTCAACCTTGAGCTGGTCAGGATCGAACTGCTGGCAGTGGACAGAGTTAGCCTGCAATATTGCATTCTAACCACTGCGCCACCACGACAGAGATAGCAATAGAACTAAGGCTTATAAGGTCATAAAATGGGTCAAAACTCAAATATCTCATTTAACAACGGAAATGTTGGGCTCAATTGTGGTCATAAGTTGAGGACTTCCTGTATTGATGAAAGAAGGGATTGTTGAAGGTTTGTCACAGAACAAGGCAGTAGAGAGCTCTCATTTGCATGACGTGTTTTGTTGTCGTTAAATGAAGTGTCTTTATTAAAAGTTATCCCAACGTGATTGCATTGTGTTGTCTCTTTAGGCGACAATGATCCAGTTTCTATGATGAGCAGTTTAGACAGTAAGTAATCAAAAGCTTCCATGATGGGGTTATCCGGGAGCGGTGGTGGTGAAGGATGACCCAAATAATGACATTATCTCATGGATGAATGTCTGTGGAGGTTCTCGGTCATCCAGGTCATGGTTGTCCCAAAGGTGCTTTTTCAAGAGGCAACTGGACTTTTGTTTTGTTTTTCCTTGAAGATGAAAAGAAGCTTCTTCAACTCTGACTGGATGGTGGAGAATGGAAGTCCACATTCTGGACAGAGAGGACTGCTGGTTTGAAAGAGGCCATCTACATTGAGATTGAAAGGGTCTCTCTCAACAGTGGGGGAGAGAGAGATGACACCACATATCTCCTTTTACAAAACAGTTCTTTCAGCAGTCCCAAGAAGGTTCCATCCATCCATCCATCCATGTCTGTCTGTCCATCCATCCATCTACGTATCTATTCTCTCTCTTTCTCTCCACCTACCTGCCATTCTCTCTCTTTCATTCTCTCTCTTGATTCTCTCTCTCTCATTCATCTATCCATCCATCCATCTCTCTCACTCTCTCTCTCAATCATCCTATCCATCTCTCTCTCTCTCTCTCAATCATCCATCCATCCATCTATATATCTCTCTCTCAATCATCCATCTATCTATCCATCCATATATACATCTCCCTCCCTCTCTCTCTCTATCTTCTCCTATCTCCCTCTCTCTCTCCCTCTCTCTCTCTTAGTCATCCATCCATCCATCATTGTCCATCTATCTATCTATCTATCTATCTATCTATCTATCTATCTATCTATCTATCTATCTATCCCAGCAACTCTCAGAAAGAGTACTAACAGTCAGATGACTTCAAGGAATAGAAATCCTTTCATCCACCATTCAGTCAAAACTGAAGAAGCTTCTTGGATGAGAAGTGAAACCTCTTCAAGGAAAAATAAAGTCCAGTTGCCTTTTGACAAAGCACCTTTGGGCTATCTCAATGAAAATTTATTTACTTGTGCCTGACATCATGACTCAAGTAAATAATTCCATTACAATGTGGTGATGATGATGATTTTTTTAATGACTGGGCTTGGTTATGGATCTAATCCTAAATGGCCTTTATGTTAGTCCAATAAACTAGAAAATATGGAGCCTGGTGTAATTGAGAAGACTGTAAACAAGATTATCTCATTATTTTCCTTATGACGCAACAATACTGTCACTCATACTGTCTCAAAAATATTTTAAGCCTAAACTATATGTTATGGTTGGTTATCTTTTTCTTATCCCAGTAAGAAATACCGGTACATGGTGGTGGTCACTGTTGATTTAGAAAATTTAATACAGGAGTCGTTGGAGGGATAAAAGGCTTAAAGAATATATATGTATATATTATAGGCAGAATATATAACCAAATGTCTTTGGTTATTTATTAGTTTTTAGAAGTTTGAACGTAAATTCTATAAAATGGTGAATTTTCATTTGGGGATTCTACGTAACCCAATCAATTATCAATATTCCAGTTCCCATCATCCCTTGTGCTTCGACAAAGCATCTCAGAGTTGTTAATGGAATCCCTACACAACCTGATAAAGGTTGGATGGTCAGCTTGAAAGACAGGTGAGAACCGAGCTTTCTTCCCTGTGTTGATTCCCACTGTGGTCGTAAAATTGTGTATCAGATGATTTTTTTGAGATTTAGAAATGCCAGTTATTGATTGCGTCGCAGCTAAAGTTCTTCACATTCTTCCTTCAAGAAGCCAATTGTTCTGTTGTTGCCCGTCAGTGGCCAGAAAAGCTGGAAGCAGATTCAGACAGTGAGGAGGTTGGGGAGGAACATGGGCCAGTCCTGGAGTCTGGGGAAGGCTCTGATGAGGGCTCTGCGTCAGAGGCAGAGAGGGGGCCAGGGCCGTCTGACAGTTATCAGCTGCCTTCAGAGTCAGACATCAGTGGGGCAGAAGAACAGCTGGAGCCTGTTCCCAGTGTGTGCATGTGCAGAGTTGCCAGACAAAGGGAACAGCTAAAGAACAAGGGTCGACTCAGGAGTAAAGCCACAGGTGGACGATGAATGACCCCTCCTAGAGGGAATAAAAGAGGAGCGAAAGGAGAGTGGAGTTTGCAGGAGACAATTAGTTCGCTTAATGGGTTCATGACTCTCCGAGACTCCTTGCCAAGTTTTGAAGATATCGGCCTGGCAGCTCTCCAAGCCAGATAAGGTCTGTGACTGTAAATTCACCCTTGAAAGACTTTGCTGGATGTGAATGAGAGGAATTCACAGTCACTTAATAAAAAAGATAAAGGATTAGAAGATTGTTTGAGTAAAGATTTGAAGAAAAAAAGGGAACAAGATGAAATATACTGTTAATAATTAAAAGGACTCCACAGTGGAAAATATTAAATTGAAAATGAATACAGCAATAGAGAGAGATGAAGGAGGGGAAGAGAGTTGGAAGGGAGGGGAAAGGAGAGAGAGGGATGGAAGAGTAGGGAGGAAGGAAGGGAAGGGAAATTAGAGTAGGAGAGAAGGTAAGACGGGGGAAGAGAGGAGGAGAAGGAGAAGGGAAGGGGAAGTAGAGAATAAAAAGGGGATTTTGTCGGGACAAGGAGTCTGCTTCATGCTTTTGGGAAGCCAAGAATTCAAGAATTGTTTCTCAGATCTGCATATGGACCATTCCAATCCTTTCTCAATTTATGTCTTGCGTATTGTCTAGTTCTGTCCAGGAATCCGAATTAGCAGTGCCATCTTAAATTTTGGACGTTAAAATTGTCCTCTTGGTTGACGTCAAATAAGCAACGTATTGTTTACGTTCCTCCAGACATGTCCAAACAAAATCTGCTTCCATCTGTGGCTGAAGTAAAATGTAATGCAAGTAGTCTTCAACTTACAACAGTTCGTTTAGTGACCATTCAAAGTTACAATGACACTGGAAAAAAAAGTCACTTAATGACTGTTTTTTTCCCACACTTATGACCATTGCAGCTTCCCCAGGGACCAAAATTCAAATGCTTGGCAAACAGACTCGTATTTATGACGGTTGCAGTGTCCCGGGGTCATGTGATCCCTTTTTGCGGCCTTCTGACAAGCAACGTCAACGGGAAAGCCAACCTGTTTCAGTAACTTAGCAACTGCAGGGATTCACTTAACAACCGTGGCAAGAAAGGTCGTAAAATGAGGGGAAACTTTCACTTAACTCTCTCGCTTAGCAACAGAAATTTTTGGCTCCCATTGTCGTAAATCGAGGACTACGGCATGATATAAATGTGAAGTTTATATTAGCAGATTGGCCCCCAAATAATTGTTTGTTCCTTGGTTTCTCCAGCAGAGGCAGACATTTCTGTGGTGGTTCACTGGTGAAAGAAGATTGGGTCCTGACAGCCAAACAGTGTTTCCTGTCTCGGTATCTATTTCACTTTTTTTTTTTACAAGATCTTCCATTAGGATCCTACCTTTTTCAGTTGGCCCTTGGGTAGAAATGTTGATTTTTCTGACGTCGCAAAAAAGGCGGTGGGAAAGGAGGGAGAATAGTTAAATTATTCCCAACTTCTATATCAGGGGTATCAACTCAAGGCCTGTGAGCCGGATACGGCCTGCGGGGTGCTTAGATCTGCCCCGTGGGGTTGCCCTGGAAACAGTGAAGGATTGGTCCGCGGTACCTCTGCCAGTGAAAACGGAGCTCGGGAGGGCCGCACGCATCCCTCCCAGGCTCTGTTTTCAGCTGCAACGGTCTCTTGCACACCTCTGCCAGCGGTAACAGAGCCTGGGGAGGCCGTTGTAGCCCAAAACAGAGCCTAGGTAGGCCCCACGCAGCCTCCCTGAGCTTTGTTTTCACTGGCAGAGGGCTGCAGGAGGCTGTCGCGGCCGAAAACGGAGACTCAATAAGTGACACCGAGCTAGCCACGCCAGGGGTGAAATCCCAAATTTTTCCCTACTGGTTCTGTGGGCGTTGCTTGGTGGGCATGGCAGGGGAAGGATATTGCAAAATCTCCATTCCCACCCCACTCTGGGGGCCAGCCAGAGGTGGTATTTGCTGGTTCTCTGAACTACTCAACATTTCCACTACCGGTTCTCCAGAACCTGTTAGAACCTGCTGGGTTCCATCCCTGAGCCATGTCCACCCTGGCTATGCCCACCTGGCCCCTCCAAGATCAAACACAACTCTGATGCGGCCCTCAATGAAATCAGGTTTGACACCACCTGTTTTATACAATGCAAATCTGGAATATTCAGAGCATTTGAGTAGAAAACCGTTATTTTAGTTTGTGATGGTGGCGAATATCTGTAGCTCGGGTGGAGGATGAAGGTGGAGGTTCGTTCTCCGAGCTTGTGAGTTGGTTTCTGAACATTTCGTTACCAGGATAAGTAGCATCTTCAGCGGAGTTTCAGGGAGATCAGTCTTGGTGTTCTTCTGCTTATAAGGGCTTTGTGTGGTCAGTAGGACTTGTGATGGGAGGGTCATATTGAGTGAGAATCTAGTAAAGGGCCTTGTGTGGGTCAAATCAAGTGACGGTCTTGTGATGGGTTAGGTGTGGATTGTGTCAAGTGAGGGTCTTGTGATGGGTCAGGTATGGGTAACATCAACTGTGGGTCTTATGATGGGTCTTGTAATAAGTCTTGCTGTTGTGGCCCACCAGCGACCAGCGGAGCTGGCAGCAGATTCGGACAGTGAGGAGGTTGGGGAGGAACATGGACCAGTCCTGGAGTCTGGGGAAGGCTCTGATGAGGGCTCTGTATCGGAGGCAGAGAGGGGGCCAGGGCCATATGATAGGTATCATCTGCCTTTGGAGTCAGACATCAGTGAGGTAGATGAACAGCTGGAGCCTGTTCCCAGTGTGCGCATGCGCAGAGTTATCAGATGAAGGGAACAGCTAAGGAACAAGTGTCGACTTGGGAGTAAGGCCACAGGTGGACGATGAAGGGCCCCTCCCAGAGGGAATAAAAGAAGAGCGAAAGGGGAGTGGAGTTTGCAGGAGACAATTAGTTCATTCCTGCATTCTTGCCAAGTATTGTGGCTTCTGTAAGATCTCGGCATGGCCACTCTCTAAGCCTGATAAAGGTCAGTAATTATGAATTATCTTGAAAGACTGAGGGAGAGGAAAGACTTTGCTGGAGAGGAATTCACTGTACATTAAATAAAAGGGGTTTATCGGAATGAGGACTCGGCTTTGTGCTGCTGGGGAAGCCTAGATCAGAACACTTGCAATGGGTCAGGTGTGGGTCATGTCAAATGAGGGTCTTGTGATGGGTCAGGTGGTGGTCAGGTGTGGGTCATGTCAAATGAGGGTCTTGTGATGGGTCAGGTGCAGATCACCTCAAGTGAGAGTCGTGTGATTGATCTTGTGAGTCTTGTGATGGGTCCTGTGTGGGTCATGTCAAGTGAGAGTCTTATGAGGGTCACGTTTTGGTGAATTTTCTTTTCTTTTTTTAAAAAAATTTAAAACAAACTTTATTAAATTATCAAACAATTATAAAAACAATTAAAACAATAATAAGATATTCATATACATAGATCATATCATATATTTGACATTTCATTTCTATTCTTTTACATATCTATATATATTCTTCTTCTCTACACATTATATATTTCTTAACCTAGTCCCATATTCATTTTCCTGACGGTGAAGTCGTTGTTGGTATTTATATGAAGTAAGCATGGAAATACCCTCTCAATTATCATGGGTCATGTGGGACATGTCAAGTGAGGGTCTTGTGAGGGTCACGTTTTGGTGAATTTTCTTAGAAACGTTCTGCTTTTCTAGATGAACCCATACCTGGAGAAATCTCCTTTTCCTTGGTGAGGTACAACCTAGGAATTGGACGTATTTTGATTCAATAACGGGAGGGTTTGAACTATTTGCACTAGTGTTATAGTTCAACGTCTGCTCAGAGTAAAAACCCAAGAGGTTAGTCCAGATGGCACCGTTTTCACAGCGTGAACCGCTGGAACAGTTCCAGCCTCCACTTTGGGAGACTAAAATATGGCAACAACCTTATGAATTCAGTGATTTATTTTGTTTGGGAGATGAACTGACCTCTGCTTTAGCTACCTATGTTTAAATCGAGCAACGGTTATCTAAATAGATCACGGCAAAGCAAATAAGCAGAGCGAGCGGTCTGTGGAGGCGAGCCTATCTAATCTAACTTCCATCCTGGGTTTATTTATTTTTTTTATTGACCCATAATCCAACTGTGTTTGCTTTCTTTAGGCATAATCTCAAAGACTATCAGGCGTGGCTTGGAATCCATAATGTGGAAAGAGCTCACGAAGAAAAGCATAAGCAAGTCCTGAATATTTCCCAGTTGGTCTACGGGCCTGAAGGATCTGATATAGTTTTATTGAAACTTTCCAGGTGGGTTGAAGTTGTGCGAATATTTCATAGGCAACTTCTCTGTTTGTTGGATTTAATGGAAGGGTGAAACCATGCTGTTAGGGTGTGTGTAAAAAGTATTTGTTGCTTGTGCAACGAGCAGAGCAGAAACACACAGGGAAGGAGATAAACGTGCAGCTCGTGTGAGAAAAATACTTTATATACAAGATAATAAGCAGTCTCGGTGTAGGTAAAACAGTCCAAGGTCATAAACAGTAATATCAGTCCAGTAAGTATCTTCCCTTACCAAAGCAAACAGACTTTAGTAACTCTTGGTATACAGTACCATATAACAATTCAGTCTAACATCAATCAGCAGAAAGACGCAGGAAGCAACAGGAACAATCAGGAATCACTCAGGAAAAAAGAACACTTCTCTGCGCTGCTTATTTATGTACTGTAGCCTAATTACAGGGTTCAGCAAACCCTGATTACGTGGCTCAGTTGTTTCTTAAAGAAACAGATATATTGCCTGACCAACAGGTTAGGAGTAAGCTACAAGCTGAACCTAACACATGCTACTGAAGCAGCAGTGGGATTCATATTATGTTACTATCGGTTCGCCACGCGCACGCTTCTGCACATGCGCCCGGCCTCAAAAACATGCCTAAATAGGATGGGATAGAGCTGGGATTTCCGCTACTGGTTTAGGCGAACCGGTCCAATACCACCTCTGTACTGAAGGAAACTGAAGGCTTTAAGTCACATGCAACCATGGGGGCGTGTTGTCCAGGTGTGTCCAAAAAGTCAAATTGTCACTCACCATCACACAAAGGGTGCAAAGAAGAGCAATAAAAGATAATTAGGGGACGAGAGGCTAAAACATATGAGGAACGGTGGCAGGGACTGGGTATGTCTGGTTTGATTAAAAGACGGACTAGGGATGATATAATAGCTTCCAATATTTGATGGGCCGCCACAAAGAAGAGGGAGGTCCACCTATTCTCCAAAGCACCTGAAGGGCAGGACAAGAAGTAATGAATGGAATTAATTAAGGAGAGAAGCAACCTAGAAATAAGGAGAAATTTCCTAACAGAACAATTAACCAGTGGATCAGCTTACCTTCAGAGGTTGTGGGTGCTTCATCTCTGGAGGCTTTTAAGAGGAGCCTGGACAGCCACTTGTCTGAAATGGAATAGGGTTTCAAGCTTGAGCAGGGGGTTGGACTAAAAGACCTCCAAGGGTCTTCCAACTCTGTTATTCTGATATTCTGTTAATGGAAGCCTTGCCTTTTTGACTTTTTGAATACACCTCCACCGCAGATACCTTTGGCATCATAATGTCTATAACGTCTTTGGAAGGGATGGGCCTGCATTTGGGTCTAATAATTTTGGAGTTTTGCTGCAAAAGTTGATGTGGTTGTGGGGATTGTGTGCTCTGAAGAAGATGAGAGCTGTGTCAGAGGTCCAATCATATTCGACCAGTCTCATCGGTGGAGTCAAACCAAGAGCGTCTCTACCTTTAAAAATATGATGAGGTGTAAATTACAGCCACCTCTACTCATTCGGTTGTCACTCAGGTCAAAAAGCACTGCACTCAATGTTGGAAGTCCTGGACTGGAATTGGGACAACTTGCCATGGCCAAGTCACTGCAGGCAACTTGCCATGGCCAACTTGCCCTTGTCAACTCTCCATGGCCAACTAGGCGTGGGAAAACTTGCTATGGAGCAATTTAACAATTTGATTTAATTATTTAAAAATAAATAAAAAAATATTTTATTTTTTGTCATTTCACGTCCCTCTTTTCCTTTAATGATTCTCTTCCACCATGAGTTTGATATTAGTGTGGCTCTTGTCCCACAGTGAGATGCCTGTGGCGAGTTGGGTGTAGCAAGTTGACTGGGGTGAATTGTCATAGACCCCTCCTGGACATCTGGTGAACGATGAGCTGGAGGACTTTGGACTGCTGGTTGAGCAACTAGGGCCAGTAGCTGCCGAACTACTGAAAGGAAACATATTTACCCATTGCAAATATACAGCTTACATTCTGCGATAATACCTTTAACACCATGTACTGTTCTGCCCCAGCTCCGGATTCCCAAGGATATTGACACACACCAACGGTCCTTATCAAATTTATTAAGTAGCAAGAATAAACCAAAGTCTGGCAAAGGTTGGCAACCAGCCCAGAAAACAAGATACAATAAGACTTTTCCAAAAATGCTCTGATGATAATTACAAGTTGTTTCCAGCAAGAAACTTACTAATGCATGTGACTTAAATAGGCTAAGGGAGTGGCCAATTATCCTCAAGCCTTACTCTCGAGGAGACCTCCTCCTCCTGAGTAGCCACTCCTGCCTTTTGGCAGCCCTGCATACTCAGCATTGAGGAGAGGCTCCTCCACTTCGCTCTCTCCACTTGAAGGAGCCTCTGGAGGTTCTGAAGGCCCTGGCTGAGTCTCTGCCTCTGGCACCACATCCTCTTCAGCCTCCTCGCTGTCTGACGCGAGCGCCGGCTGCACAGGCTGCTGGCGCAACACCATACCAGCTTCCTTGATAACTTGATAAGTGGATGAAAATGCCAAATCCAGTCTTAACTTCTGGCTGACTATTCAATGAATCATAAGAATCTAACTTCTTCGAAAAGATGTGTTAAATTTACCTACTTATTCTTACAAATGTCCATGTTCTCCTTTTTTTAGACCTGCGGTAAGCAATAATGCTGTAGCTATTATCCGTCTGCCCATTTCTGGTTGCACCATTCCAGATGGGACCACGTGCAGCGTTTATGGATGGGGACACACAGGAAGTAAGTAATTCAAGTTTGGAACAGAACCCCCCACCCTCACACCAAATCCTCTACATGGCCTGTTTTCCTTGTTACCTTCTCGGAGGGGGTTTCATGGTATCCGAAGCAGATTCAAGCCACAGTTTTGTTCCATATAGCATTCACTTCCAAAACACTCAAGTTTTCTCTTTCTGTTGTGACCTAGTCATTTAAACACACGAGTAGTCCCAAAAACCTCTTTTATTGCAACAGCTGTGAATTATGTTCATTCACAGCTGAGTCCCTTGACACACTGCCAAAGACCTACTTGGCAAAGCCATACAGAGTCCAGAATCAAACAGAGCTGTCGACTGGGAACAGAATTAACAACATTGCTTTCCTACAAAGGGCTCAGGTGCCTTTGCTCCTCTTTTAAGCCTTATGGAAGAGGCCAGTCATCTCCAGGCCTTACTCCTGAGTTGTCCCTTTTGTTTTAACTGTTCTTGCCTTCTGGCAGCTCTGCGCATGCGCGCACTAGGAACAGGTTCCTCCTGTTCCTCTGCTTCTCTGATGTCCTACTCTGGAGGCTCCAGAGTCCGCACATCACTCGCAGATGGCCCTGGCCCCATCTCTGCCTCCGATGCAGAGCCCTCATCCGGCCTTCTCCAGACTCCAGGACTGACCCATGTTCCTCCCCAGCCTCCTCACTGTCTGACTCTGCTGCCAGCTCCACAAGCTGCTGGTGGACCACAACACTTTCTGCCATGTATTCAAGATGGACAGTGGTTAATATGTGTGTGTGTGTTTGTATGGGTGTAGGGCTGTGTGTGTGTGTATAGCATGTATATACTGTATCTCAAAATAAAGTATATATCTAACCATACACATATGTGTATGGTTAGATATATACTTTATTTTGAGAGCAGGCAACAGAATTTCATTTTTAATGTGGGCCAGTGCGCTCACAGTAAATGAATGACAATAGAAGTCTTCTTGTCTTGTCTTGTCTTGTCTTGTCTTGTCTTGTCCTGTCCTGTCCTGTCCTGTCCTGTCCTGTCCTGTCCTGTCCTGTCCTGTCCTGTCCTGTCCTGTCCTGTCCTGTCCTGTCCTGTCGTAGGGAGTGCTTAAGAGAATGTATTATCTTTTGGGGGTGTTGATAAATCATCATGGCTAAATTCTTTCTATGTGGTTACTAAGAGTTGACCATGACTTTGATAACCCCAAATCAATCAACCAATGAGATGGAGTAAAGACAGTTATTTCTCTTCACAATTTCAGCAAGAAATTTTGACGGGCAACTTCAGGAAGCGAATATGATCATTATGGGGAACGAACGCTGCAGTCAAGATTTTGGAGGAAACGTAGTCTTGAAGGAATCAGAAATGTGTGCGCGAGCTGAGAGCATCGGCAGTGGAACTTGTGAGGTACGATTTCTTCTTAAAAGCCTCCAGTGTTGGAGCATTCACAACTTCTGAAGGCAAACCGTTCCACTGATTAATTGTTCTAACTGTTAGGAAATTTCTCCTTAGTTCTAAATTGCTTCTCTCCTGGATTAGTTTCCACCCATTGCTTCTTGTTCTGCTTTCTGGTTCTTTGGAGAATAAGTTGGCTCCCTCTTCTTTGTGGTAACCCCTTAAATATTGGAACATTACTATCATATTACCTCTAATCCTATGAATCTATGAGAATATACATATAAGTAGAGTGGAAGGGAAGGGAAGGGAAGGGAAGAGAGAGGAGAGGAGAGGAGAGGAGAGGAGAGGAGAGGAGAGGAGAGGAGAGGAGAGGAGAGGAGAGGAGAGGAGAGGAGAGGAGAGAGAGGAGAAGAGAAGAGAAGAGAAGAGAAGAGAAGAGAAGAGAAGAGAGAGAGAGAGAGAAGAGAAGAGAAGAGAAGAGAAGAGAAGAGAAGAGAAGAGAATAAAGAAAATGTGGAGTGGAGTGGAGAGTGGAATGGAGAGGAGTGGGGAGTGGAGAGGAGTGGAGTGGAGTGGAGTGGAGTGGAGAGTGGAGTAGAGTAGAGTAGAGTAGAGTAGAGTAGAGTAGAGTAGAGTAGAGTAGAGTAGAGTAGTGGTAGAGTGCCTATCAAGATTAATTTGCCATCAAGCATTCTTATGCTAATGTTATACATACAACGGGCAAGTCCTTCCTTGTTTTACAATGAGCTTTTCTCATCTTAATCTCTTTTCCATAAACACATCAATGTGATTTTTCTGTTTTTTCTCTTTCTAGCGGGATTACGGTGGCCCATTGGTCTGTGAACAGAATAGAATCAAGATAGTAATGGGAGTGATTATTCCCGGACGAGGATGCGCAGTTCCCAAACGGCCTGGGATTTTCGTCAAGGTGGCTTACTACTCCAAATGGATACACAAGATCTTAATGACATACAGGTCATAGCCGAAGAACCCTACCAAGTGGGGGGGGAGGGGGAGCCAGTTCTAGGGATACTGGAGGAAAGTGGGACATTGCATTGCGATAGAGAAAATGTGGACTTTTCTGGGGGGAAAAATTGTCGTCCATCAAAGATTAACTTGATAGTAGTCAAGTTTGACAGATGTTTGTGGCTCTTCGTGTCCCGTTCTGCTCCTGGCTACGTTGCGTGTGGGGTAAGGAAAAATGCAGTGACTTATTTCCTGAATATACTTGAATGGGAAAGCAAATCTGCTAACTTGGTGGCTGGAGAAATGCAAATTCTTTATACATAGCCCGGTTTTTTTCTTCTTCTTCTAGGCTGCTGGTTAGGAGAGCTTTGTTAATAGGCATAAACACCCCTCTGAAATTTGCAGTATATTCTACACCCAGCTCTGAATTCATCTTTAAGACGCCATGAAAACACATGCATAAGTCAGAGACAATGTCATCCCTTATATTGTTTCATTGTGTTTTCATTCCTTTATCAATGGCTTTCTGGACGTACGACCTCATTGAGCAATTCATTCACGAAGTCCATTCCATTGTGATAGTGAAAACTATCCCAATCAAGAGAATGTCAGTATTTTTTTCTGGAAGAGTCCATAAATGGATACCAACATGGGTTGGGTGACGATCCAATAATGAGTTCTACTAGCTCTCTATGTCCAAGGTCATTTTCACTCTGGAGGCCATCTCCTTCTTCGCTGATTGCAATGACACATAGAGATGAAGAATCACTGTTAGGAAGTAAGGTGGAAAATGACAAACATCTAGTGAGGCTTGTGAGATCTAGTGAGGTCTCCAAAGAAATCTAAAGGATTTGTTTGGAGGCCAATCACAATGTTTCCTTTAAGCCAAATCTTGGTCTTATTGTTTCGGACCTACAAATTTCACTCCACCCCATTTCTTTTTAAATCCAGCTCCTGCTTCTTCTCCTCTAGAACTTAAACTTTCTAAACACATTTGCTTTCTAAATGGTTCCACCACTTTCTCTAGCCATTTTTGGCTGTAAGATGTTATTAGTTTGTTCACTCCTTCGTTCCTACACTCCTTCCTATTTTAATAGTCTTCCACACGAAGTTCTAAATTTGAGTATAGACCTAGGCTAACCTTTTTGCCATCATGTGCCAAAAGCAGGGGGTGCATGGGGGGGGGGTTGCGTGCATGTATACCCACACCCATAATTCTATGCGCCCCTCCCCCCCACGTGCACCCCCACATACTCCCCCCTCCCCGTTTTTGGCACATGATGGCCTGGCAGGCCCATTTTTTGCCCTCCCCAGGCTCCAGAGTCTCTCTAGGACCCTGGGGAGGGCTAAAACAGTCTTCCCCACCCCCGGAGGCCCTCTGGAGGCCAGAAACAGCCCATTTGCCAACTTCCGGTGGGCCCAGAAGGCCCAAAAATCAGCTGGCCAGCACACGCATGTGTGCCAGAGCTGAGCTCACATGCCCACCAATATGGCTCCACGTGCCACATGTCACGTGTTCACCATCACGGACTTGGATTTGGGTTTGGAGAAAAAGCCAGCTTTCTAGTTTTCTAAACAGCGATCATCCTGTGACATAATATTGGGCATAGAAATTCAAAATATCTCATAGAAATGGAGACTGCATCAATAGCCCTGATCGGCTGTTCCCTTTAAAATTCCAGCAGATCGTGAATGCTTGTCCTAAGCTAAAAAAAAAAAAAAAAAACTTAATTCATATTCATGTTCCTAACAAAAGCCATCAAGGAACAGATGATTTTAATCTACTAAAAAATAAAATACCGTGATCTTTTTTTTAAAATGAGAATTTAGAAAATCAGTTCCTCCCGGTTTGATGTTCTTTGATTTGAGTTTAAGGGTCCAGATTAAGGCAAGGATCCTAATACAATTTATTCTTTATTTAGAATTAGCATTCCTTCAACCTCCAAGATTCTGATCTTTGATTCTGATTTTATAAATGTGAGAGTACATTTTATCGGTAAATCCACAGTCAATCCTTTCCAAAAAGATGTAATCGTATGCTACACGAACCTTTGCACTTTCCACCTTTAGTTTTTCAAGATTTAAACGTTTCGGTTTTTTTTTGAGATTTAAAGGTGAGGATTCTCATCTAATGAACTGTCAGAATATTGGCTTGTGTGTGTGTGTGTGTTTTTTAAAGCAATTTAAAAAAAAACATCCATGTTATGGTTTGAAAGAGTCATGATGTGTTTTCTTCAGCGTGTTTACTTCCGTTTGCAATCACTGTCCTGATTTCAGATTTTACTGATTTCACTGTTTTCAGATTTTAGAAGCACACAAATGTTTATTGTGTAGAAACAAACTCCTGTACTCTCAGTTGTATATTGAGAGTCATCGCTAACCTTCTTGTGCAACTCTCTGTATAATACATGGATTTTGCAACATGTCGTTCTTGCATTCACATTTTAAATAACGTTTTAAGTATGCACGTCTAAATGTAATGTGTGAAGCGTTTCATCATTTTCCGTTCAGTTCCTATTACGCTTAACTTCCTAGTTAAATGGATGCTCTATTATATTAGCTTCTTAATCTCAGAACAGGAAGAACAAATATCAACCAATGAGCTCTATCAGGCTTCTGTGTATTTCTGATGGCCTTTTGTTCAAAGGACTTGCAATTAATGATGTGGTGGCATATTCAGAATTTTATGAGAATTAAAATACCTCCAATGCAAAATGAGGTATGGATTAATGAAAGTCATATTTCCAAATCCTTAGTTGTAAATTTAACGTTTTCCAGCTCTGAACCAGAATATAATCCGATACAAGATACAAAATCTAAATTTTGCTTTGGTCAGGTGTTTTTTTAAAGCTTGGATTAAATGACTGTCGCTTTTCCACACTGTAAAATATTTTGCAAATGTTTTCCCTCTCAGCTTCCCTGTTCCTTCTTCAAATTGTATATATTTGTATGATGTACATGAAAAGAATATTCATGACACTATAAATGTAATTCGTTTTGCTTTTTTTTTATTTTCCCCCCAAGGTTTATGTATTCTCCGTAATATGTGCAGGCATTTTGTATTATGTATGCAGGCCTTTCTGCTCAGTGTAATAAAAAAAAAATATTCTGAAATATTATAAGCTTCTGCGGGGCAGAAGACAATATGAATTTATATATAAAATATGTATAGGGGTATTATTATATATTGTGTAAGACTTCTTGGGACATTTGCGATGAGTTGAGTCTCTTTACAATGAATTTATAGATCTGATTACTTGTAAAATTTCTGCTGGAATTCATTGATGATCTAATATACTGTCATGTGGAGAAATGTAATGTGTGTCCTTGAGATCACAGGGATTGTATTTGTACACACACACACACACAAACACACACACAAACACAAAGAAAGAGACATAATTATGGTGAAAGATTAATCTGAGATGCATAGATTGTTCTGGATTTTCTCAGTTAAGGCAGCCGAGGCCCAGAAATGTTCAAAACATTCACCTCATATTGGAATCCTATGCAGACATGAATCCAGTTTGTTCTAGACAATTCACTAACCTCGCAATCTGTGGTGTGTTCTTGAGACATGGTAGAGATGGAGGAAGAGGAGGAGAGGAGGAGGAGGTGAAGAAAGAAAGAAGATCAAGAAGGAAAGAAGAGGAGGAGGAAGAGAAAGGAGGAGAAGGAAGAAGAAGAAGAAGAAAGGAAAAGAAGAGAAAGAGAAAGAGAAAGAAGAGAAAGAAAAAAGAAAAAGAAAAAAAAAAAAAAAAAAAAAAGAAAAAGAAAGGAAGAGAAAAAGAAAAAAGAAAGAGGAAAGAAAGAAGAAAGAAAAAGAAAAAAGAAAAGAAAGAGAAAGAGAAAGAAAAAGAAGAATGATGCTTAATTCCTGCAAATTACAGATTACTGATAGAATTCATGCATCACCTCGGTGTTTTCCCCTTTTTTGAATTTAATTCTCCCTTTTTTAAATTTAAACAGTTACAGGCATGCCTCAATTTATGACCACAGTTGGGATTAGAAATTTTGTGGCAGGCAGTTGGGTCTTCTCTGGTTTTTTGGGGGTTTTTTGGCCATGGTGGTTAAAAGAAACACTTCCGTTGTTAAGTGAATCATGTGGTCGTTAATCAAATCCAGCTTGGACGTTGATTGTCCAGGAAGTCAGCTGGAGGTGTCGCAGTTGACGATCACATGACCCCCATCATAAGTATATGCCAGTGTCCAAGTGTCTGAATTTTGATGACATGACCCTGGAGATATACAACGGTCGTAAGAGCAAGTATCTTTTTCTGGTGAATGGTCACACTAAGCGAATGGATGTAAATCAAGGACTCTGTTATTCAGAGTCACATCGTGAAATCACTTTGAATCTGTCCTCCCTTTCAGAAGCTCTTTGCCAGAAGAGCCAACAGCTCCTGGAGATAAACCAGGAGTGAAATGCTCCCGGTTCGGACCGGATCGCCTAATCCGGTAGCGATGGAGGCTGCAAAAATCCCTGCCCCCCCCAATTGCCCAGCTGAGCCGCGCACAATCATCAGAGGCTTTTTTTTTTTAAATTTTTAAAAGCATTTTTTCTACAACCTCTTTGGTCGAAAAAATGCTTTTAAAAAGTAAAAAAAAGAAGCCTCTGATGATCGCGCGGCTCAGCTGGGATCATCAGAGGCTTTTAAAAGCATTTTTTTTACCACTCTTTGGCTGAAGAGTTTGCAGAAAAAAAATGCTTTTAAAAGCTTCTGATGATCCCAGCTGAGCCGCGCAATCATCAGAGGCTTTTTTTAAAAAATTTTAAAAGCATTTTTTCTACAACCTCTTCGGCCGAAGAGGTTATAGAAAAAATGTTTTTAAAAGGAAAAAAAAAGCCTCTGCCGATCAGGCAAGTCAGCTGGGATCGTCAGAGGCTTTAAAAAAAAAAAAAGCTTCTTCCGATCAGGCAAGTCAGCTGGGATCGTCAGAGGCTTTAAAAGCATTTTTTTTACAACCTCTTCAGCCGAAAAAATGGTTTTAAAAGTAAAAAAAAAAAAAGTTGGCCACACCCACTCAGTCATATTACCCCCCCCACCAAGCCACGCCCACGGAACTGGTAGTAACAAATTTTACATTTCACCACTGAGATAAACCAACCCGAACAGTCCATTGTCTACCTTGCAAAAGTAGCATCATCCTTCATTGTGTCTCCTGTCTATGCTACTCTTTCTTTCTATCCATCAGCAACTTCTTGAGGCTTCTTGGAGGGAATCTTCTCTCTTCTGGAGTTCGTGAAAGAGCAGTGGGACGATAAGACAGGCCATCTTCTCAACCTGGACCTCTCTGCTTTTCTTGGTGGCCTCCTAAAGCATCCGCCCTGAGTCTTCAGAGAGAGGCGGCATATAAAATCAATCAATCAATCAATCAATCAATCAATCAATCAATCCCTTACTTTGTCCTCCTGGGCAAACTGAGTGAGAAGAGATGACATAAAAACGGGCCTCTTTATTCTTCCTGACTCCTATTATTTGGAAGCGACAATGCCGAAAAACAAAAGAAACAGGAAAAGGATGATATTTCATTGATTTGTGTTGTTGCCTCCTGCAAGGACTGTTAATTAGAACACGTTATGCCTAGGAGAACATTCGGAGTAGTGCGGTGGCCTATAAGTGGAGCTTTCCCCTCACAATCAGGAGGCTGTGAGTTCGATCCTAGGTAGAGGACGGTATTTCTCTCTCTGGGTACACTGGGAATATATCTGCTGAACAAAACTCCGCACCGCGACAAGAAAGGCATCCGGCCATTAAAACACTCTGCTAGCTCCATTCAGTTGCCCAGACTTCATCTCCGCAAGGGATCATGGGGTTCGTTAAATGAAGTTGATGATGATGATGATGATGCCTAGGAGAACATTTGAAAAAACTCATTTTCTTTTTGGTCATACATGGATGGAAGATCTTCCTACAAAAAGGCAATTCGCCGCTTATTCCCCGTACAGAAAACTGTAGCCATCCTTTGTACCAACCAACATGCAAACCTGGGTTTATTGGAGGGACTGCGCAGAACATCAGAGTCCAAGTGATAATCCTGGTGTGAAATGGATTTGATGTGTCTTGAGGACGGAACCTGCCCTGCAGAAATTGTTTTCAAGTTTGATTTGTTTGAAAGAAAAATCATTTAATTCCCACCCCCGGTTATTCGCTACTACCTATCCTCTTTGGGTAATGTTTAGACACCAGAGATGGAGAGAAATTATTTTTAAAAGACTTGTACTGTCATTTGAGGTTAAAAAAAAATTAAAAAATGGACTTTTGTTAGCTTAGGAATTAGAGTAGGTGCTTAGGTAAGGTTCAGTTCATATATATTTTGCCATATTAAGAAAATAAAGACAGATGATTAATAATTTGTGGATGTTGGCCCATCCGAGAAAAGAATCTTCATTCTTGAAAAATTATGATGATTCACCGTGACTCCATTTTTTGTAGTGCTGTAAATAATAGTCTCTTTCCCTTGATTCTTTCCAATAGAAACTGATTGTTGATTGTTGTTATTTAGAAGTGTAATAAAACTACAGCTCTGACTTTATAATAATTCTGTAAGTAAAGGCATCCCTTAGCCCTGAAAGTTGCTATTTTTGTATCTCGATGATTATAATTAATAAAATATTTTATGAAAAAAAAAATTGGATATATTCTTTATCTATATATATAAAAGCAAAATACCACTCACGCATCATCACGAAATCTCCAGAACCGTAAAGCCTACAAACCTGAAATTTGTCAACGTATGTTCCTCTTGCCTTCTAGGTGCTCACTAAGAAAGGATTTTTCGAAATGACCATCAGATCATTAATATTTCTTATATTATTAACATGTTCTGATACTAAAGAGTTAGACGTTCTGCTCCCTCTCCTCACCTGAAAAGAACTCTGTTCCAACTGCCACTTGGGCGTGGGCGTGGTCAGCACGTGACTCATCCGGCCTGCCGGCTGGGAGTTTAGACATTCTACTCCCACTCCACACCTGAAAAACACTCTGAATCTAAGGAGTTAGACTGAGGGAGAGAAGGGGATAAGATAGGAGAGGCCTCTGTGGGGCAAGCCTGAGGGAAAGAAGGGGATAATAGAGGATCGATGGGGCCAGCCTGAAGGGGAAGAGGAGAGGAGAGGCTTCTATGGGGCAAGCCTGAGAGAGAGAAGGGGAGAGGAGAGGCTGATCATAACTACTCATTCATTTTCAAGCTGTAAGTGTCGATTTATCAAGCCCAATCCTAATCCCAAGACTAGTTTCGTAGTGGAGCATGGGTATCCAGCTACTTTGTCACAAAAAGGCAGTGTGTTGAGAAAGAATTCAAGGCTCATCTTTCATTTAACTCCCAAGTTCTGCATGTCCTCCTACAATGCATGTACATATGGGTGATATTTATAGATCCATCTACAGAGTAAATATACAAATATATCTAGTTCCCACAAATGTGAAGGGGGAAAAAAAACCCATAAAAAGGAGTAGGAAGGGACGATAAAGCAGAATGTTAATCCCACATTCATCCAAAGCTCTTGGTGGCAACTGGAGTTTTTTTTTTTCTTCTTCTTTGAAGACCTTTCGCTTCTCATCCAAGAAGCTTCTTCAGTTCTGACTGAATGGTGGAGGATGGGAGGATTTACGTTCCTTGTAGCCATCTGGTGTGGAGCCTTCTTGGAACTGCTGAAAGAACTGTGCTTGTAAACAGGAGATAGGGGGTGTCGTATCCCTCCCCCTCTGTTGAGAGAGGGCTGTTCAATATTAGTGTAGGTGGCCTCTTTGATCCCTCTTTCAATATATACATATAATAATTTCCCTCTCCCTCTCCCTCTCCCTCTCCCTCTCCCTCTCCCTCTCCCTGTCTGTCTGTCTGTCTATCTATCTATCTATCTATCTATCTATCTATCTATCTATCTATCTATCTATCTTTCTTATCCTTATCCCTATACCTCTCTCCCTGTCTGTCTGTCTCTGTCTGTCTGTCTGTCTATCATCTATCCCTATCCCTATATCCCCCTCCCCCTCCCTCCCTGTCTCTGTCTATCTCTCTCTCTGTGTGTGTGTCTCTATCATCTATCCCTATCCTTATCTCTATACCTCCCTCCCTCTCTCTCTCCCCCTCTCTCCCTCCCTCCCTGTCTCCATCCATTATCTATCTATCTATCTATCTATCTATCTATCTATCTATCCATCCATCCATCCATCTATCCCTATCCTTATCCCTATACCCCGTCTCCCTCCGTCTCCCTGTCCGTCCGTCTGTCTGTCTGTCTATCTATCTATCTATCTATCTATCTATCTATCTATCTATCATCTATCTATCTACTATTCCTATCCTTATCCCTA